GAGTGACGAAAGTTGAACTAGAAACACAAAATTTATGATATCAATTTCGTGACGAAAATTATACGAATTTTTTAACTGCCTTGGAAACGTACGGAAAATCTTTTTTTATTTATTCGGAACATTGCGAAATTCCGTCTACTTAAAAAATGCGTATAATTCTCGTCACGAAATTGATATAATAAATTTTGTGTTTCTAGTTCAGCTTTCGCCACTCGAAAATTTTACCTCAAAGAGGTGTTTTATTTGAAATGTACATACATAAAAACTAACATAACTTTATTGTAAAAATGCGTCTTAATAGCATATTCCCTAGTTTTTTAGAGGGCGTACAACCCAAAAGGTATTGTATGCCACCAAAAGAATTTTCAATATACATATGTATAAATGTATGTACATACATATTTCTCGCAAAGCATCCTTGTATTTAAGAAACAAAACAGAACACCTATCCGCGATGTTGATTCGTTTCTGTCTCGCCAAGGATGACATGATATGAAACTCTCTAATTTTGCTTCCGTGAATCTCAGTTCAACCCGTTTTCTGACTTGGCAGCAGTGATCGGACTTCTACCATATTGTGGTAGATCTGCCACGTTTTTGAGCATCTAGANCTATCCGCGATGTTGATTCGTTTCTGTCTCGCCAAGGATGACATGATATGAAACTCTCTAATTTTGCTTCCGTGAATCTCAGTTCAACCCGTTTTCTGACTTGGCAGCAGTGATCGGACCTCTACCACATTGTGGTAGATCTGCCACGTTTTTGAGCATCTAGCACACAAGGTCTGAAATCTACCACATATTCGCGTTTTTGAGTAGTTTTGTTTTTGCCCGACATAATTTTCTTAATTTTAAGAGCAAAAATTTTCCAACGCTAAACACTAAAAAAAAGGCAGAATGGGAGGATAAAATAAACTTTAACAAATAAAATTAAAAAAAAAAACTTTTTAATATACAACGCTTTTATAAATGGACTAAAAAGTAGAAAATAATATTTCTCAATCCCACAGAATTTGTTTTGATAACTTTTGATTTTCAAATTTCAGCAAAAGTCGTTATAAACAACTAATGACATTGAAAACGAAAACGTGGAGCGCATGCAGTACAAAGCATTCGATTTCATTGACAATAGTCAAACTACATAACATTCTACAGCGAAAGTACAAATTTGAGATCGATTTTAAGCGGTCGCTATTCATATGCCCACATACATACATATGTTACTTTTCATATCAATTCAAGTGTATTACATGCGCCCCACGCTCATTAATTGTTTATAATGACTTTTGCTAAAATTTAAAAATCAAAAGTTATCAAAACAAATTCTGTGGGACTGAGAAATATTATTTTCTACTTTTTAGTCCATTTATAAAAGTGTTGTATATTAAAACGTTTTAATTTTTTTCTACTTTTTAGCCTTGTCTGTACAAAATTTTGCAATAGGTATTAAAATAATTCAACTTGTGAAAGAGAACAGAAGACCATGCAAGGAAAATGTTGTTTGCTCACATTTAGTATAACCGCCCTATTCCCACAACACTGACAAAATTCATCATATGACTATTGTCACAATTACTGCGCCTAAAACACAATATAAACACTGTTTCGCCGTTGTCACTTACTCAGTAGGTCATAACAATAAAACTGACAATTGTCATACGACAGCTTAAAATAAATTTGCGGCATATTATTAGGCGCAGTAGTAAAGGCAATAGTCAGCCGCTGAGTCATACATACATACATACATAAGTACATACATACATATAGCAGCAGTTTATTTCAATTAAAGAAATGGCGTGTCGTCCATTTCCGCTGTGACGTATATAAATAGTGCATATATTTAGGCGCAATATTTAACTAATTCTGGCGGTGCGACATCTAGAGTCTTCTAATTGTATCTCCTTGATATGAAGCCTACAACGAGGTTGATATCTAGAATTTTCCATAGATAGCTTTGCTACATTTATAGTAGGTGCATTCTTTTCCAACCGAGCTACAAAAGAACACTCGCTTAAATGACGAAATACACGCAAAGCAACAAAACAAACTCGGCTATTTATCCGAGCTCAGCCAGGTCTGTTAAAAAATACGCGACCTGAAGGGTAGTGTTGGTAAGTGAAAAAACTGCTCTATTGTGAATTGTTAAGGGGAAAGTGGAGAGGGAAATTTTTGCTTCCTTTTATACGTGACTTATATATTAAAAGAGTATATATATTACGCAAATACCTCGCATAATTACTTATTTAAATTAGTTTTTGTATATAAATCCCGTTAAACTAATCACATTATGGGTTGCTTAAGTAGCTAAAAGGAAATTTTACCCGAGTTGAGCGTTCTTTTGTCGCTCGCTTACAAAAAAATGCAGCTAGCTTAAATGGTGGTCTGGACCAGAGAAGCGCAGTGAGTATGATCAAACTGAATATATCCCACTCACCATCCATAATATGTTCTACTTATATGCATTCATATTTACTGAAATGCCCCGAACGTCATATCCACCCTTAAACAAGAGGTATCTATCATACTCATACCAGGGATTGGCATGGTTGAACTTCAACTGTTTCATACTCAATCAACACTGCTGCTTTGTATGACTGAGCAGCGGCGTTGGCTGAGTAGTATCGATACCTAAACGAAATACAGCCACCACAAGTGAACGATGCTTATAACAGCCAGTGATCGGACTTCTACCACATTGTGGTAGATCTGCCACTTTTTTGAGCATCTACCACACAAGGTCTGAAATCTACCACATATTCGCGTTTTTGAGTAGTTTTATTTTTTTCGACATAATTTTCTTAATTCTTAAGAGCACAAATTGTCCAGCAATAAACATTAACAACAAAGCCGAATGGGAGGATAAAATAAACTGTAAATAGTAAATTTTCTCAATAATCAACTTTTCGACAGGAAACGTGGTTTTATTGTGTTAAATTGCAAAATATATGATTTATAAAAAGAATTAATAGCGATTCTTGTGAAAGTATTAGCAAATTTCAGTGCGTCTAAAGTTCCTAAGACTTTTTAACTTTTTCCTGAGGATTTGTAAAATCGGCAAATCCCAAGTAGCGGTTTCTGGAACGTGCCACATTTGTTCGCTACATCGTGATGTGATAAAAAGAAACGCTGGCAGCACTCCGAAAAGTTGCGGAAATCTCTCAAAATATGTTCGAAAAATATCCGATCGCTGCTTGGCAGTACTGTCAAATAAAGTTGGACTGAACAGCTGACAAGCAAAATAGCGAGCTGCCACTAGATACGCACCAAATACACGGATTTAATTTCAATGGATTTCCTGCAAACACATTAAAAAATTATAGTGTTTGCAAGAAAAAACATTTTATATGGTAATTTTTAACACTAAATAACTAAAAAGATATTAAAAATCTAAAATATTTGCTTGTTTTGTTAAATAAAAAAGGTCACAAAAATTTGCTCAATAAATCTCCCAATAAGATTTTCGTCGCTGTGGAAATATTGGGGGATGTTATAAAAATGAACCTTTTCACAGTCCTCTCACGAGAAGAAGAGTTTGGGCTATCTATTTTTTACTAATATTTACTTATTTTACTAAAATTAAATGGGATATGAAACTGCATAGTTAGACTTTTCCTAAAAATTCTGAATACAATACAAAAATACGAGAAATAATGATGGATTGAGTGGAGCACCGACGCCTTTACTATCGGAATATCTCCGTTATTCTTCCACCTAGACTTCTGACAATTTGCAAATAATTTCATTTGAATTACAGAATAAGTATATGAATTGTCAGATGTTTACCTAGTGACAAATTTTTACCAAATTTTTTGCAACATGAGCACTTTCTGACGACTATTTAACTTTCGTTTAGGCTTCTTACAATTTTTACCCTACTTTATTATGTTGTCTTCGATTAAATTGATAATTTTCGGAACTTTACCTCATCACTTATTTTTCGAAAAATAAAAATTGCATGTTTAACCCCCGACCCTCACTTTATACTTCCAGTGAGAGTTCTGACGGCCTGCCTCTCGCTATATCGGTAACAACCGAACCTGTGAATGTTAAAAATTCGACTTTACCGAGTGACCCCTTCCGCTACGTAGCCAGCTCTTAGACTATATCTTTTATCTAACTATAATAATGACGTATCTTTTAAAAATTCGATGAAAAACGTATCATTTTGATCCATTTGGATCAAAACGGCAACACTAGTCGCAAGTGTAAACGAAGCGAGAGTATGGGGCGTTCATATAACAGAGTGCTTAAATTTATAAGAATATCTGCTTGAGAAAGTTATCGGTTTAGATGAATACCACTATTAGGTGTGCAATATTTCACAAAAACATTATGTCTTATAATTGTTTTGAATGATTACACAGCCTCCTTACCGTCCATCCGTTTGGGCATTCACAGTGGAAATCTTTGTAGCCGTCGTAACAAGTACCGCTATTCTTACATCGGGTAGAGTTTCCGTCTACGTCCTGGCACTCATTTATTATCAGATTATTTTCGATTTGCGTGGCACGGCTAAGAACTCGCCGTACCCTCCCCAAACTACGACGGATATTTAATGTCTGTGCGCGGCCTCTGGTCCGATTTTGTAAAAATGAGAATCGTGCTCCTAGAATGTGCAAATCTTCTTTGAACGATTCCAAGAGTGACCGAACGCTCTTTGTAGTTAACACATCCTGATTAAGTGGGCGTAGCTTTTCATCTTTATTTTTCACAAGATTGAGTATATCAACTGAATTAATGAAAATACATCCTTCACCTTTCACGCGAAATGTTATATTTCGGGATGGTACTGATCGAATAATTAATTTTCCGCTATCAGTTTGAAATTGTGGTTGTTCATTGTAGTTTTCAGCGGCATTGTTAATCGCGCCCACAATTGTCATCAGCAGTATCGTTTTTGAAATCTTGTAAATTATCCACATATTAATTTTGGCACAGTTTACCATAATCACTTTTAGTATATGAATGTTACACCTAAAAGAAATCGATCCACTGTCAGCGAAACATACGCATAAACTGCACAAAATATGCTTAGCGTCTGCTTTTATACCGAACACCCGACTGAAAGACAGGAAACTTTTGGGGGCGTTACCCTGAAGTGATTGCTCCTATCACATAAGTATGTATGTATGTATGTGTGTAAGCTCATGTACATATATACAGTGAAACCTGCTTAAGTACCCCCCCGCTTAAGTACCTAACCCACTTAAGTACCTAGCCCGCTTAAGTTTTGTTTAAGTTTTATGGGCAATGTGAATTTTTGAATGTAATCTGAAGAAAATCCCTCTCTCAAGTACCTCCCCGCTTATTTACCCAACCCGCCTAAGTACCTCAATTTTTCGTACCCCATTTACCATTCTAAATATAATTTTCCCCTTTTAAGTGCTCTTTTGAAATTCCTTAAAATATTTACATATTTTGAATCTTAGTGGCAGCGTTACACATCTTCGGCAAAATAATTTTAAAAAATCAACGGTAATTTTTAGCCACTTAAAACCTGCACATTACTACGTTAAAATTGAATGGGCTATAAAACTGTATACTCAAAAAACATATCTGAGAAAAAAAATTTATTTTTGATGAATTTTTTTCTTCAAGTGTTCTATAAAATCTTAAGCTTGGGTTTACATGGTATTTGTTAGGGAATTAACTGTATTTTAATTGAAAAGTCTTAAACAAATACGTATAATTCATCAAATGTTTATGTTTTATTCAAGGTGCGCTGTTTGGACTGCATAGAAAACGGTGTTCTTTTTTGTTGTTTGATTAAATTGGTGTTTAATATATTTTATTTTTAATAAGTTCACGTTTTATAGCTTATGTATAGTTTGGTATGTACATTACTATAGGTTTGATAACGTATATATACGCGACGTAGTTAAATATGTGCTCGCTGTGAGTATTTATTTNTGATAACGTATGTATACGCGACGTAGTTAAATATGTGCTCGCTGTGAGTATTTATTGCCAACTGGTTCTGTTCAGCCTACAAATCCAAAGAATGTTTATGTTTCATTCAAGGTGTGCAGTTTGGACTGCATAGAAAACGGGGTTCTTTTTTTGTTGTTTGATTAAATTGGGGTTTAATTTATTTTATTTTTAATAAGTTCACGTTTTATAGCTTATGTATAGTTTGGTATGTACATTACTATAGGTTTGATAACTTATGTATACGCGACGTAGTTAAATATGTGCTCGATGTGAGTAGTTATTGCCAACTGGTTCTGTTCAGCCTACAAATCCAAAGACCTGGGTACGTGGGCGAAAGCTCGCTCCCGCTCACGATGACGTAGTCAGTTAGAG